GTTTGCTGCTGCGTTTCATACATATGTATGAAACGCAGCAGCAAACATTAAGCATTAACAGATGTAGGAGAACATTATTTTATCAGTCATGAACACTATTGATCACTCCAATAATCAAACAAGTTTTCCTGAAATGAACACCTGAACATTACTTCTTGTCAAAGTTTTAAAAACACCTCATGCAATCTGTTATCTCTAATTATGTGATGGAGGCAGCTTCCGCTCAGCTACTACCACATCAAATTTTAGCTTCGGATCTGCAAAATTGAGAGTTAGAGCCACTTTTGTGTTTGCGAAGGTCAATTAGATGTGGTGGCCATCTTGAGTTGGGTTTACTCCAAATGTCAGAGTTGTAGATGTATATCTAATTAATATATTTTGAGGGTTTCACTAAAATTAGTTCAGTGGTTTTTCAGCTATTTTGCTAACAGACAAACGCACACACTGGAAATGACAATCTGCCACTCCTCATGGTGGTTAAGAACAACAACCAAATATTAATTCTGTCTTACAGTAAAGCACACGCTTGACTAAGTTCTGTTGTTTTGCTCATGCATGCGTTGAAAGTGATATTGTTTTATATTTAACCTTTACAAGTAGAGTTAGCAAATATCAGTCTTTGTACTCTAATGAAGCTACTGTATACTTTAATGGTTTTCATGATTAGGTTCTTATAGTTGAATTGGGGGCGGCACGGTGGCGCAGTTGGAAGAACTGCTGCCTCACAGCAAGATGCCAGTTCGAATCCCAGCTGGGGGCCTTTCTGGATGGGGTTTGCATGTTCTCTCCGTGCATGCGTGGGTTTTCTCCAGGTACTCCGGTTTCCTCCCACAGACCAAAAACATGCATGTTAGGCTGATTGGTAACTCTAAATTGTCTCTAGGTGTGAGTGAGAGAGTGAATGGTTGTTTGTCTTTGTGTCCCTGTGATGGACTGGAGACCTGTCCAGGGTGTCCCTCGCCTCTCACACAGTGACTGCTGGATATGGGCACCAGTGACCCCCCGTGACCCGAAAAGAAAGAAGTGGGTAAAGATGATGGATGGATGCTTGAACTGGTCTGTCTCTAACAGGCTGTGGAAACACAGCAGCCTGCCTGCAGTTCCCTGTATGAACTTCAGGGGGAAACAACTGCAGAAAGGTTACCAAGCTGCTGCAATAACACTGCAACATCGAGAAACCACCTCAAGCAGCAGACCCGGTCTCAGTTTATGTTTCTGGTTTCTCTAGAGAGAGCTCGGTGTAAAACATGTCACACCACACCAGTGCCTCGCTTTGGCTTAAGTTTAAAATCTTCAATGAGACGCATAATTTTACATTTAAACACATATTTATAAATTCTGTACGTGTTTATTTTCAATTAGAATTGGCTCCTGACATCTTTTTATAGTGAATATACACTTATAGAAACAAACCTGCATTAGAAAGCACTAACCCTTTAAAAAATAATAATTGTGGCTCCCTCTGGTGGTCATTCTAGGTATAACAGCAACCTGTCTATACAAGAGAACTAACAAACTGGTTATACGTAAACAGAGAAAACATCAATGTTTCTGCATCATTTTAATGGTAGAGGTTTAGAAAATTATAGGTTTGATAAACTGTGTTCAAAGACATTTGAGAAGGTTTTTGAGTGCATGCATATGCTTTTTATTGACCACTGCCAAAAGGCAAAGGTGGAAAATTGTTTGTATGAGTGTTTATAGGTTTGTCTTTTACCAAACTACCTCAACAGTCACTTGGGGAATCAATAAACATGTTCTTAACTTTTATGGTAGCCAGATTCAAGATGGCTGCCATGGCCAAGTGACCTTAGAAGACACAAAATGGTTATATTTCATTCACTTTCATAGAAACTGTGCTGACGTTTGGTGTGGCTGCAGCTGGCCTTTAATGAAAGTTTCCTAAAGGAATCATTGGATGTAAATTTACAAATGATTAACTTTTAGAAACAACTCTAATATAAGATAATGGTATAAATAAAGGTTAAATAAATATAACCTATAAATATATGTAGGTATAAATAAAGGTTGAATGAATGAAAAAGATGGCTGCAACAGCTGATCAAAGTACAAAAAGAGGCTATAACAGTCGATTTAATATACCACTACGGGATGTGGTAGTACCGGTAGGTGAGTCATTAATGACACTAACTCTGATTGTGACATCTGGTGAGATATGAGATTGAGCTTAACATTATTTTTAAATGGGACAACATCAATAAAACTGGCATGAAAGTCAGTGTGTGACATGCATTCCTCCAAGAAACAGTACTTCAGTTGATAAATAGTACAATATTTTTTCAGTTTAAAACGTGTGTTAGTTTGTTTCATAAATATCTGTGATTCCTAAACAGCTCAAAACTATTAATTCCTTTGAATTTAAACTCCAATAATATAGTTTACATGTTTAAAACTCTTTATGGTAGTGCCGTGAAGAAAAAAAAGAACAAGTGTCACTCTCACAAACATTTTATGTACCCAGGTATGTTGTAGATTGTTATATATTCAAGGTGTCCAGGGCATCAAACTGAAGAAGGAGGCCTTAAGAGCTCAGCTGTTCCTGAAGACCCGTGATTCTGGCAGTGCAGATGGACAGGAGGACTGCATTTTCTTTAGTAGCAGAAGCAAAAACTCTAACATGGGAGGAATAAGGAGACGTGGATATGGAGAAGGTCTTTTGGATAGCCTCAAGCAGGTTCTGGCACCGTTCAGTGTCTAGAAAAAGGACATTGGGTCCTGTTGGCTTTGCTTGGCTTGGGTGGGGAACTGCTAACCCAGACTGTACTGTTGAGCAGAAGGAGCACTTTGGGAAGCTCCTCAAAGCTGTCACCATGTCCACCTTGGAGGAGACAAAGTCTGAGAACTCAGAGGAAGTTCATTATCATGACAGAGGTCACAGAGGTTAAAGTTCCTCATCATGAGAGACCCAAGAGTAGATGAGATTTGCCTGAGATGCTGAAGGTTCTGGACCTTGTGGGGCTGTCGTGGTTGGCACAACATCTTCTATGCTGGAAGAAAAACTGGGACAATGCCTACAAAGTGGCAGAATGTGTGATGGTCCCCATTTTTTTATTTTTTGTTATAGAAAAGAGCTATCAGAGAGTGCGTTCCAACTCCAAGCTGTTGGAAGAGATGCTCTGATTGATTGTCAAACCTCTGACTCAGGAGGAGCAGTGGGTTTTCGTCTTG